AAGGTATCTGGCACGAGAGACATGTGGTTCAAAGCTCATACAGTGGACAAAGTACTTGTCCGGGTTGAAGACGCACGGTTTGATGCAGCATTTTGCAACTTAGCCTTCTCGCCTTCAACTTCTTCTTCATCGTCGTAGTACAGATACTCCTCATCCTCTTCGTCGGAGTGCCCGAATATATTCCTCCAAACGCCATCCCAGAGACCCTTCTTGGTCACTAGCCCGCCGACCAGGAGAATAGGCAGTTGCCAGATACTGGCCCAGAAGAGGCCACGTGCAGTGCCGTTCGCACCCTGATGTTGATAGAAGCGGTATGCCTCGCGGACCAGCCAGCCATTGGCGACAGTGCTACCGACAAGGAAACCATGTCCGACAACATTGACCCACCAGAGACCAAAGGATATGGGGAACATCAGAATAGAGTAGCGCAGAGCAACCCGAGCACTACGAGCTGGGTTCACCCAGCATAGCATCCTGTAACCGGCTGCTTTATATTCATCGCGGATCAGATGGGACAGGGCGTTGAAGTGGGGGAATTGCCACGCGAACAAGATTCCGCCCAGTAGCCATCCCCCAATGCTCTCTTCGCTGAAGAGCATGTCGCGCCATGTGTCATGACCAATCGTCGCCGTCTGGCCTGCTGCGGCGACCCATCCCATCAGCGGTGGGATACCACCAACTACCGCGCCAACCCAGGTATTGATTACGTGGATTCGCTTCAATGGTGTATATACAAAAGCATATAGGAAGATATTGGCGGCGGATAGGGCGGTAGTCGTCGGGTTAGTCCCGATATAAAGGAGCGATAGGCCCGTGACGGCGGTGCCAATCGCGAAGAGCAGAGCTCCCCGGCGCGAGACAAGTCCGCGAACGATAGGGCGATTACGCGTCCGGGACATGAGGGCATCAAATTTCGGTTCGAACATCATGTTCAGAGTATTGGCGCTGCAGCAGGACAGGAAAGTGCCCGCTGTCAGGTATATAAATGTCAGGGTCGAGGTTGAAAGTGTAGGTAGTGGGGTCATGGCCGGGTCGAGGGTGAGCAGGGACGAAATTGGGTACATCCCATATGCAGAGGTGGTGGTGAGGACGATCAAGAAGGACAGCCGCGGTTTCGTCAGGGCGAGATATGCAGCCAGCTTGCGGCGGAGGGACGTGGTGGGGAGTGTGGACGAGAAGTTCGACAATTGCGCCGAGGCATCCAGCGGTAGGTTGGGTTCTGGTTTTCCGGTTGCATTTCTTTCCTCCTTCAAGCGCTTCCGCCGCCGATGTGGTAGTTCTGATGTTGCTTCTGTCGCAATCGCGGCGGCCGATGCTGTTGCAGACGAATTGACTTGACTGAGGTAGGGATCGCTGGGAGATGAAGCGTTTGATTTGCTTTTCGCGTTGGAGGACGCAAGTGAAGACAGCAAGCCACCTTTGCTACTTGACCCGTCATAGAATCGATTGGCCGAGAAATATGATTTGTGTAATACCGAGGGGGACTGGTCATCCGCAATCCCGGTCCGCCGTTTCGAGGATGATAGGAACCCCCGAATTGCCCCGGGGCGCACAGAACGAGGCCCAAAGAGACATTGTGAGCACACAAGCGCCTCTCGAGGCCTCCGCAGAAGGGATGGCCGCAGAGGGATCATGGCGGGTCGGTCATGCAGAAGGAAGAAAAGGGAACGAGAGAAGTTGAATTTCCCCGGTGGTGCACGGGCCACATCCGTCCACCTTTGACCTTTGGAATGTCAACAAATTGTCCTTCTAGACATTGCCTGATCTCCAACACTGTCCTCTCTTTTCTGGTGATTATTCGCACTCATAATGGATACCCTTCAGAACTCAGTGATTACCCCTCTTCAGCCTTATTTGGCGCCTATTGTCTCAGCCATCCCCGAGCCAGTGCACGATGCCGTTGTGTCCTTGATTGGGAAATCTTGTCACGGCGCACTGTTGGTCGACCTAGATGTCACCAAGGACCCTGCCTGCACCTCACTTGCCATCTCCAAGGCCCTCGGCATCGCCATCGTCGGTGCCAGTGCTGTCGTCAAGATCCCACAGATTCTGAAGCTGATCAACTCCCGCTCATCGGCCGGTGTCTCATTCGTCTCTTACGCCCTTGAAACCGCCAGCTTGCTCATCACTCTCTCGTACGGCGTGCGCAACCAGTTCCCATTCAGCACCTATGGCGAGACCGCTCTCATCGCTGTCCAGGATATCGCTATCGGTGTTCTGGTCCTGAACTATGCCGGACGCTCCGCCGCCGCCGCGGCTTTCATTGCTGTCGTAGCTGCCAGCGTTTATGTGCTGTTGTTCGACCAGACTATTGTGGATGCGCAGACTATGGCCTACCTGCAGGCTGGTGCGGGTGCTTTGGGTGTTGCTAGCAAGGCGCCTCAAATCTATACCATCTGGCGCGAGGGAGGGACCGGACAGCTTAGCGCATTCACGGTACGATTCTCTTTACTTTTAACATGAGCTCAGTTCAGACACTAATTGCTTCTTCTAATCAGGTGTTCAACTACCTCATCGGATCCCTGTCCCGAATCTTCACGACACTCCAGGAAGTCGACGACAAGTTCATCCTCTACGGATTCGTTGGCGGCTTCACTCTTAATGTGATCCTCGCACTCCAGATGCTCTGGTACTGGAACGCTCCGGCGCCCAAGCAGAAGGCCGCTCCTCGTGCAAAGGCAGTTGAGAAGGCGCCGTCAGCCCAGAGCACGGGAGCATCCCCCAGGCCTGGCGTGAAGACACCCACCACCCGCCGACGGGGTTAGATAGCTCAGCTGATGTTTACCTTTCCTTTTTTCGGTTTGGTTTAAATAATAATAATAATAATGCTGTCCGTTTTTGGAACCATGCGATTCGAGCAATGAGCTGCGAGAAGTTGTATTCATGGAAAACCGTGGACCAAGTAGAACTGTAACCACAAACCACATGCCCCGAGTCAAGACCATCAAGTCCTTAGAGATCCTAAGCCTACGGCATGCGCCCGGTAGTCATATGTCTCAAAATAAGATCCAAGGGCACGAACGGCTGCACAGGATGCGGGTGATGAGGAGCAATATTGAACTCGAACTCAGCAGCACCAGGCTTCCGATGAACGCCAACGACATCCATCCCCTCCCCATCCCCCTCCTCGCCCTCGCTCTCCTCCTCTTCCTCCTCTTCCTCCTCCTCCTCCCCATCATCATCCTCCAACTGCCTCCTCAAACCAGTAACAACATTCTCAATCCCAGCCTCGCGCTCCTCAAGCGTAAAATTCCCACCCCAGTTCCTCCGCCGCGCTTCCTGATTCGCCTCCAGCGGGGCCCATTCCCACAGCTGCGTGAGCTGTGCGTCGCTCAGCGGTTTGTGCACAGCATCGGGGTCGGAGAAATTGGATGATGGCCCTGTGGCGGGCTCCGTACCGGCTGCACGGCCGCGCGCAACCCAGTCTTCGACGCGGGGATCGAGTTTTGTGCGGAGGAGTTGTTCGAGGGTGTTTGCTTGTGTTCGGCCCGGGTATTCTGGGCCTGGGTAGGCGACTAGGTTGGAGAGGAGGTCGCGTTGGTCAGAGAGTTGGTCGGAGACGCTGATGAGGTTGTTTGAGATGATGCTTGCTTGGGACTGCAGGGAGGTCCTGGTTTTTGGTTAGTTTGATGGGCTTGAGTGCCTATTACTGTTGGCTGCTTAGGTTGGGAAAGGCTGGGAGGACGATAGAGCTCTTACCACGGCGGAAGAGGGTCGCTTTGGTTTAGACTTGCGATCAGCGAGCCTAGTGAGCGTGTGAGCTGTACGAGACGCTGTCGCGATTGCTCGAGGACTTTAATTTGTTCTTGGGTGAGGTTGGACATGGCGAGTTGGAAGCTTTGGAAGGTCAAAGAGCTCCAATGTGAGGGGATAAGATAAAAGTGTAGAACGGCCGAGGGCTTTTAGTCTTTACTCAGGTCTCTTACCCCAATTTTCTTCAATTTTCTTCCGTGTCTTCAATTACTATATTCTTGAAATTGGAACTCTTTCTTATAGATTCGACATCAGAACAATGTACTCCGTACGGATGTACTCAGGTGGATAAGTTAACGTACATATGTAGCAGTATGTACCAGATTTTAGGCCGCGGATGCGAATTTCCCGATCGGGGTGCCGCCGCTTTATGAGGGCGCTTAGGGGTCCTGCTCACTGAGTAGCTCACAGCACAGGGTGATTACTTAGTGACCACTTGATTGTACTTAACGTATTTCACTGCCGAGTGGCCACTACCACCGAGTGGCTATCTCCAAAACACATAGTAAATGCAATATTTTATAACCTTATATTTCAACAACCGCGTTATTGTCTGATTTCATTCTCACTAGATAGCTATTGATAAAGATTTTTAACCATGTATATCAATTTTAAGAAAATCGAAAAACTGCATTGTTATGGTATTGAAAATTACATTACTCAAATCCTGAAATATATATATCGCAATCACGAAGTCATAAATATTTTCTAAACTCCCTAGAGAAGCTAGATATCACCTAAAAAGCATTACGCTATTAGGAAAACTCTATATAGACTACCGTTGTTGAGATATCAAGTTGTAATTTATCGATTTACTATGTGTTTTGGAGATGGCCACTCGGTAGTGAAATACGTTAGTAAGCAGTCAGATGATAACTACGTTAGTTAACTACTCAGTGATGCTTAGGCCATGCTTAGAAATGTCAAAATAATGCTTAGGTTATGCTCGGTGCTTCGCGATGGATCTCGTCACGCAATTGCTACAAAGTAGGTATGAAGATATCAACGCTAAGGAGGAAATGGATATAGATGCTATGCCGAATTCTCATCTAACACGGACGCAACCGGAATACGAGTGCCGAAAGTGTGCTGCTGCTGCTGCCGAAGAGCGGCTATACGACTGAAAAGCTGATGATATATCCTATCACTTGGCCGATATCCTTGGCTGGCATGGCTGATCCAGCAACGGCTGAATAAAATTATGTAGCTAAGGATCGGGCATGGAGACCCACTGAGCCGCGAGATTATTATTTGGTGATATGTAGTCTATTCAGGTCCGACGACGATGCTGGCATTAATCGCCCTTTAGACTTTGATAAACTACATATGTAAAACAAAATTTGTATGTACATGTATCAGAACCCCCACTGGAAGATCATTAAAGCATGCTTCAGTTGAGCCAACAACAACGAAAGCGAAACCGATTCGCGCTGCAGCGCTAACGCCGCTATCATCTACACGAGGTGATCTAAGGTCCTGAACTAGGTTAAGTATGGAAGATAGGTGAAATGCGTTCTCAGAATAGACCTCCTCCCTGTGAACCCATTTTCCTTGTATGGTGTATAATGAGCTAAGTAAACCAGTCTAGGTCTTATAGAAACATGCACCTCTATAACTTTGTAAATATATTCCGCTCTTGAAGAGATTGTACGAATAGATTATTGAAAGAATACGTGTGTAAGCCGATGCGTAGAACCATTGGAAACTGAGAAATGGAGAGGTACTAGTGACTAAAAGATCATGCCCTTCCACAATAGCTCAAACATCATAACAGTTTCTGTTCAATGGCTAGGCTCTAGCGAACGCCATCTGCCCGCATTAACGGCCCTTTCTTATTGAAATGAATAGACCATTGAAGGCATCGCTTCTAGTGGTTCTGGTAAGACGACATTATAATAATGTGCGATTTTTTACCCGTTGTCTACTTCCCTTTATGATTAAATGTTGTAATGTTCAGCTAGAAAAAAATACCTTGCCAGATAAGTGGGTCAATTGATCACCATCAATTAACCACCCTCAAATGACACTGGACTGTGTTGCACCAGTGACTTTTGTTCCTGGGATCTTACTATCTTAGGAGATATTTTCATTATTGAAAGAGCCAAAGGCAGGGGTGTACCGTATACACAATGAGTGGAGATACGACATGCGAGACTCGACCCTTACGTCTGGACCTCAAGATCCTGGGAACCACCAAATGGTTTCTAGAAGTGTATTAATGGAGCCCGGGCGACCGACTTTATTTTAAGCGCGAGCGTATGCCACATGTCGCACCCAGAGCCTTCGGTCATGAGCGAATCATGACCCAACATGCCGTTCGAAATGCCCTAGGCAACTCGAAATTTGCCAGCTATGCTACCTACAGCAGCAGCCAGCCATTCCGCAAATGCATGGTCCCAATACACAGCCCACTGATTAGCTGAATAGCAGTACATACTGCATCACAGTGCATTCTTCGACGTATCGACTGTTTCAAGGGAGAACTTCTATGCCAGTAGCCATGAGGCTATGTATGTATAGATCCTATAGCGATGGCATATAAAGCAGACGAGGGAACGCCGTAGAGATTGCCCAACACCACTAACAATCCGAATCATCTTCTGCATTAGATCATCAGCTCAATGTCTACTATACTGCCTTAGAACCCATTTTTTCTCCGCACGAAGCCGAAAAAGCCCTTCAATCAAAGGAATGTGCTTAGTATACGCCTCAGCGTTAATCCAACCCCATTCCTTCTCCCAAAAGAGACAGAGGCCTTTTTCGACGCCTAAAAACGAGCCCTAAAACATCCAACCTCCGGCTTTCCGACGCCGGGGTCTGAGACAGTCAGGGTGTCTCTCCTTAGTGGGTAGCCGTGCCACTCGTACTTTCCGGTGGTATCCAGAAGTCACCCAGGCCTTATCAGTCCAGATAACTCAAAGCCAATCCTCACGTGTCCAAGACAAGTGAGCATACGCCTAAGCAAGGCGCCGTCTTATATTCGCCGGCTTCATATCCGGTCGCCCAAGTGCAATACGCCGGTGGTATCCCCTTCGTGCTAAAGCTCGTTGAAGTGCACCTTCCTTAATATCAAGCTCCAAAATCGTGATTAGCGTCTTATACGGAAGCCGGCGGTTATTCTCGTTCAAAGTGATAAAGTCAATTATAGAATCAACCTCATCAACTGTCAATTTCAGTAGCCGACCCGCAGATTTCTCAGGTGTAGGAGCACCGCGTCGAATGGTCCAGCGTACTTGATTCCGGGTAACACCAACAAAGCGCGCAATCCTACGGTGAGACTATCCAATCTCATAAAGTCATAAAGACTAAGCACGCGGAGAGCGTCGTCTCGCTTAATCCAGCTCCAGGTTAGGGTACCAGGATTAAAATCAACCAGAGGGAGATCGTCAGGAAGTTCGGCGTCGGACGGAGGCTCAGGAGAGGGAGGATCGGTCTAGGATCGGGTTCGGGGGGGGGGGGGGCTTGGGGGGGGC